ATACTGTATGCATCCCTGTTAATTTCTTTAAACTAAAACCTTAAACTGCAACCCAACAAAAGGTTCATAAAATATCAGAATAATACTACCGCCTCTCACCTAATTCATCTTTAGATTTTAGATTCACACAGCTACCTTAGCATTTGATTTACATACAGACAGTATTCAGTGTTGCTGCCTCCCCATTGTACTGTGGTTATCAGTCAGAATGCAGTCCGAATGAGTGTTGGATGAGTAAACTGAGCTCTAGGAGTTAGGGGTATCAGGGATCCCATCTCAGTGTGAGGCTAGGACAGAGGGGTCACAGTCGAGCTAGACAATCCCTCCTTTGCCAAGTCCTCCTCCAAATCCCCACATCAAATACATCTGAGGGGATTGTCTGATTCCACCCGGGATCTTACCATTACCATATGGAGAAATCCCAGGATTTAGGGAACTTGGCTGGTTGAAGAGGAAGGATATTGAATAAAGATGTAACAGTCAGTTGAAGAGTAAACATAATAGGGAGAGAATTTCGGCATACATGCAGAGAAGGAGAGCGTTTAGCTGTAAACCTCACTTGTGTCCGTGCATATGTTCAGCAACTCCTACACAGCTTTTTAACATAGTTCTATTTCAAAATGTTCCGGAGATGATGGTTTTATTCAATGCCTAGGGTGCTGTCTTAAATCCTCACATACAACATTAAAGCACAACTGCAATGAAATATACTCAGACACATTTACTGACCCAAATACAGTATGGTACATGCATGCAAGCAGAAACTAACATGACATTTGAATCCTTGCAAAGATTCTATTTATAATGTAGAAAAAATAATAATCATAACTCATACTGTAGTTAGTATACCTAAGGGCATTTAACTTTCAAGGAAACTCTAAATAGCTTATAAAGGATTAACAAGTAGCCTAAACAGTTACATAATTCAATACTTCAATATGCATTGTTAATATGTAAAATGTTCCCCCTGGACCACTGTGGTGCAGCGCCACTACTCAGACCCATGTTGAAAAGGATGTAAGCCATTGGTCAGAGCCCTTCTGTAGCCTGTGTCATGTTATCAACTCTGACCCCTGACTGATTGCTCTGACCCCTGACCCGTCCCATGAGAAATAACATGTATCTGGCGCTATCTCATGCCCGGCCGACCCCCGGAAATACTCTCCCTGACCACCCAGTCCACCACACACACACACACACACACACACACACACACACACACACACACACACACACACACACACACACACACACACACACACACACCAGTCCTGGAAACGAAAAACCTTCATGTGAGGTCCTATCCAGTTGTTAGTCAAACTTTGCAACAACACTAATATTTCGGTTCACAGCAAACCTTCTAAACAACTTACAACCATCATTTTCTTAGAAAGTGATTATACACAACTATCGTTTCCCTCGCCCTCTTCGATCCTTCAAAACTATCTTATTAAACAAGATTAGACACAAATCTATTATGAATAAGATCTGTCCACAGATTGGCAGTGTGAATGGTTGTTCAATCCAACAACAGTAAGTCATGTTGCAAGAGGGCTGCCAACCTGACAATACGACAGTATTGATCCTCTTAGCTAAATTACAATTTGAACCCAAATCCATTGAGCTGATTGTTACATTCCTAGGAATTATAGACTAAATTCACTTATTATGTAATTTGAATGGTCGTTCCACAATTTCCGGCTGTGTTATGGACATCTATACTTCCCCTCCCTGCCCCTCTGCAGTAAGAATGTATTTATTCCCATCTTTCTGTTCTCTCTCTCTCTCTCTCTCTCTCTCTCTCTCTCTCTCTCTCTCTCTCTCTCTCTCTCTCTCTCTCTCTCTCTCTCTCTCTCTCTCTCTCTCTCTCTCTCTCTCTCTCTCTCTCTCTCTCTCTCTCTCTCTCTCTCTCTCTCTCTTTTCCTCTTTCTTTCTATCAGTCTGTATTTCCTTTCCTGCTCTTTCCTCCCTCCATCTTTCTCTAATAAGACACCTAACAGGTTCTAAGGCCTCATTTTGAGGCCCATACTGTAAATGTTGATACATTAGTGTTATCAAACGAATGTGTTGATACGATGGAGATCATTACAACGCTATTTGCAGGTCATGACTAAATTACTGTACAACCCACTATTTCAGTTGCAACCCACTATTTCGCCAAGCTAACAATTTCAGTCCATTATAAAGACTGATCCTTTGTATTGTTTACAGAGAAACATAGGTTATAGCAATTATGGTAACTTGATTCACAATGGAGCGAAAACCAAAAAGCTAATTTCACAAGCCTGTGTGGTCATGGTTCAGTGGGAGCTGTGTAGTTATGAGCTACAAGGTCAGCCTGTAAATACTCTTTCAGCAATGTCAACAGTATTTGTACAGTATAGGTTAAGCAGCATTGTTGACTCCAGCTTACAGTATATTGTAATATATGGGCATGGTAGGCATTGTCCTTTTGGGGTAAAATTAGACATTACATAAATGGAAAATACGGGGGAGAAAAGCAATAGGGAAGAAGAAAGTTAGCTGCACACACTGACTCATATTTAAAAGACAGAACAAGTGATAATATTTTCACAAACACTGTATTCCCTTGCTGTAATATTGACACTAAGATGCTGTTTCATGTTTATAAGGATGCAAGCTATTGCCAGTACAAACATCATTAAGCAAGGCTTCAACACAATAAAAAGGGAAGTGTAGCACAGACTCTCCAAGACTTCTGCATCAATCCCATAATACTGTGTCATCTGGAAATGACTATTGCCACATTCAGATGCTAGTCGGAACTAGGAAACTCTGAAATATCCAACTTGCTGATTCGTTGAAAGTGTCACGTGTATAACTACAACCAGTTATCAGGTCGGGAAATTTCAGAGTTTCCTAGTTCTAACTAGCACTTGAACGTGGCATTAGTTACACCATGAGAAGAGAACCAGGCCAACTTACTTACTTATCCAACTACTTACTCACAAATATGTTTTGAATAACCAAGATCTACATTATGATGTATTGATTGAATAGCTTTATTATATTGTATTTATTATGCTGGCTGGATACTAAATCAAACAGCGTTGGGGAGTCTTACTCAGCCTCTGTACTTTGGAAATCATTTAAATAGGGAGAACAGTAATAAATGTGACAGTTAGTCCTTGCTGTATATGATTTAGATTAAGGATTAGAATCCTATATTTCTCTGGGCAATAATTGCACTTCTTTCTAACCAAGTCATTTCCGTCTGGCACAACCAAGGAGCTGGCAGTAAAGCAAACATTTCCTGGCAAAGCTTCACATTGTTTATGATAAATGCGCACACTTGTGCATCGGTGGACTACAGCTTTAAATTACCATCTGCGATATCCAATGAGTGCGTGTAGGTTTGTGGGCCTGTGTGTGTGTGTGTGTGTGTGTGTGCATGACCGTGCTATTTTCATTTACATGTCTTAACAAATGTGTCTGTCTGCATCAGTGTAGATTATACTATTCCAGTAAAGACCCCACCACCGATGCCCAAAATAATCCAAAAACAAAACAAAATGTCATGCTATCTTTCGCTACAATCTCGTGCTTCTTAGTACAATAAATGCAAATTGAAGAACTTGTCCCAGATTGTTTGGGATTCCGAAGTGGAAGAACCAGAGCAGAGGAGAACAGAACATAGACGGCAGCCCTCTCCAACCAGTTTGTTTGTGGCCTGGAGAAGCAATCATACCACAATTATTTGTGAGAACAAATTGATTTATAGTGAACAGCAGGCCGATTAGATTTCTCCACTCAGAAATCTAGCAGTCCGAGCGCCGTCGAACCTTCCTTCCCTAAACTAAAGCCCACTGTAGGCCCAAAGATGCCTCTTGCTGCCCTGACCTGAAGAAACAAACAACCACAGTTTCCCCCATCAAAATAGCAAGAGGTTACAGTATGTGTGCGGCACTTTGCTTATTTGTGTGTGTGAGGGAGAGAGAGAGAGAGGGAGAGAGAAAAACAGAGAGAGAGAGAGGGAGGGAGGGAGACCACATCGTTATGTCAAAAATAATCTACTTTGAGTGCAAATAAATCACTATCCCTGTTCAAGTGTCCTTTTACATATAGTGTAGATAAACATACCTGAATTATCACCCCTTGAACCGTATCCTAGACGGTCCTTCTCTGCACTTAACAAATCTCCCCTTGACAAATACTGACCGTGCCATAGGGAGAAAGAAGTCAGTGCCTGTGCGGTCAGTATTAAACTCTGAGAGGTAAAAAGGGATGCAGTTATCCAATCCTCACAATGGGACATATAAACCTGAATTTAGTCTCAGCGCATAACAAAACAAATCGGTTGACATCTCCCTATAGCGTTACCGTAAAATCAATTTCAGTAGCCCACAGAGAAAACCCGGAGAGTGTGTGCACCAGGTCCTAACACTTTAAGAGGAAGACTTCTTAAAGTAAATCCTGTCGTCACATAATCCAATACATTTCCACAAATTAGATATGACAATCGCCTCACTCTCAACCCGACACCACCACTTTCTCCAAAAATCTGAACGTTGCGAAACACCATTGAAGTGTCTCCCTTCCCGGCAGCATAAATGGCTGTAATGTCTTCGGAAAACAAACAGAAATCCATCTAAAGTTGAAAAGAGGACATTTAGAAACTGAAGTAGCTTCTTATCAGAAGGGACTACAAATCCAACCAATCACCTCAATTGGAATTGTCAGACCATCTCCTCTCAGAGACCTTTGATTGCTCGGTAGTGTTCCAGTAGTTTTCCACATCTAATGAATCCAAGCATCTGCCACAGTTTGAAGCATATTTAACGCTCTTGAAGAAGCAAAAAGTTTAACCCCTTATTCAAGGACCAAGTATCAGTTGCTTTATGTAAATATCTGTTATGGCATGATACCATTAAATGGGAAGGAATTTGGACTGGAGAATGTCAGCAATGTCTCCATTTCAGATATCAGTCAGTAGTGGCAACATGAATTCAAGGCTTATCAAAATACATAGATACAGCTCTTTAATAGTACCTGTAGTTGCGTTTCTCACTGTCGATGTGAAAGCGGTCATACAGGGAGAAGGCCTGGTGTCCGTCCCAGTCAGTGAGCTCCACACGGAGGGCGTACTGCCTCTGGCTGGTCAGCAGGTATACAAACTCATTCCCCAGCCAGTGCTCTGCAGAAACCGTCCCAAAGCCCTGCAACAGAGAAAGAAGAGGAAGAGGAGGCCAGAGTCTTGACTGAGGCCCATAGGGAATCTTACTGTAATATAAGTCATTCCCGATCCCTTCCGAGGTCTTCCTGGAAAATATGCAATCTCTCCACCATGGAATTTATTGATAACTTAGGCGTCAATTCAGGATTGACGCCTAAGCAAATGCAACACAAAGCATGAAACCGCACATGAATAGCCCTACCTGTTTATGATAGCGTAAAATTGGGACCAGCTGAAAAAGGCACACAAAGCACCTTTTCCACCCTTCCTCTCCCCACCCAAACCAAACGCGTAATAAACCCACTTTATTACACAGTCCATAAGAATGACAACAGACGCACACAACGCCATGCGTGCCTTCTCAACAATTACAATGTTTATATGTGATCACAATGACTCTCATTGTAGAAAAAGTGCTTTTGACAGCAGCAGCAGTAACTAACTTGCAATGGGGAGCATTAGAAACTAGGATGACATGATGGCTCAAAGAGACTGGTCTGGAGCTCTGGACTGTTCCATTAATGATTGTCGGGAAGGGTTGAGGGTGGGTTGAAGGGGGAGATGTGCCGAGAGCGTGTGATGATTAGGAGAATGGAAGGGGGAAAGTAAATATGGGGCATTCCTCCAGCCTGAGACACGTCCTGCTGTGTGGGTGGAAGGAGAAAGTGGCTGGGCCACGGCCCTAACTCAATCTGACTTCCAACCGATCTGCCTTTTAGCGCTGTGATTCCGTTTCACCTCTGGAAACCTGGCTGAAGGTTGGGATAGTTGGACTCAAACACTAGTGCTTCCCCCCTATTGTTCCACACCAGAGTGTTCATTCACACGCAAACCTGGCTGAATGCATCTACTGGGAATTTCAGAGAGGAGGTTTGAAGTATTGTTGGGTAGAGATGTAAATATTTTCCTAAAATGATAAAGATTGATAGAAAGTGCTCTATCATAAAGTTACATACATTCTGATAAATATTATTTTAGACAAATACTTATTTAATAAGGTATTGCAAATTGTCAAATTGATTTGTGTCTCATACCGGTTAAAGAACACATGCACCATTTATTATCCTGCTACACATACTCTATCTAGTACTGCTAATGTAATTATAAACATTACAGTCATAAGCTCACATACTTGAAGACTAATAGTAGGGGTCACTGCCAGAGTGCTCTCCATCCTCCCACAAAATGGGAATAGCCCATTGAAGTTTGCCTGAAAGGTTTATGAATCCTTCAAGTGTATTGAATTTACGTGCACAAGCCCACAGAGACCAACAGCAGTGAATTGAATCACACAATAAAACAATATCAATCACCTTCAGGCTCTTCAAGGGAGGGACTCTGAGGGAGGCAAAAGACCACACCGATGTTGTGCCAGTATTCGGTGGCGGTGCCAGGGTCCGTCTTGATTCCATTGCCACATGTATCCCATGCTCTCCATGCTTGGCTGGAGGGGTGCCATGGCTCCCTCACTGCTTCTAATCAGCTGGAATCTCTGTCCGTACCTCTTTACCCTCCAAATGAGCCCAACCCTCTTCACCCTTGTCAAATCTATATTTACCCTCTGCAAATCATCTATTCCCATCTGCTCAGATTGGTAATTAAAATACCCTCCATTTTGAATCTGGTCTCCGGCTGCTATGCTAACTACGTTATGTTAGTATACGCTACAGCTAATTGGAACGGCAATGGGGTAGCTCATCGCACCTAAAAGCAAACAGAGCTTAGCCTCTTTTAGTACACCAGTCGATATCTACAATATTCCCGTATCCAACAGACGATGATGATCACAACACCTGCCACAGTTATATAAGACTAAACAAATGTATCGTTTTCGGACTAATGCTGTCCTGTTTGAAATGAAGAACACCCAAGCTAGCGTCTCTAGTCTGAGGGCTGGGGAATCCCTCCCAGTGTACAGATGTTCCAGAGATACAGCTGGTGTTGCCGGGTAGGACAACATTTTGTAGGAGTGTTACACATGGGCCTGTCCACTCTTGAGAATACAAGAGAATCCTACCTCACGCTTTTCAACATGTTAAATCAAAGAGAGAGAGAGAGGCAAGAGTACACCCATTTGTCATCATTTACTGTAACAGAGGATGTGTGTTGGAAACAGACTCCTCATCCATGCATGGCTTTATCTTGTGCGTATGGTGCTGTAGAGTTGGGTTGTTTGTTATTATTCTTGTCTTACCATCTTGTACTCCTTCCATGTTTTCTGGAAGTCCACGCTGCCATCCTCTCTTTGCTGGATGATCGTCCATCCACCGCCAGCGGTCTCCATGTTACAATATACCTGTAAACACACATAAACGGACAATCATTAAGTTCTTAGACTGCCTACAAACACAATCTACATGCTCTTATCTTACATTTTAGAGCACAAATATAGACATGATAGGTTAAACTTGCTGTTGTGAACCATCATTCTAAAATACTGCGGGCCTAACTAGTGATTCCTTTCTATTAATCATCGGTTCCAGGACACAGTCCTTCTCATGAATCATCAGGGCAAATTTGAAGTATTGTGAGTCCTCCTCAAACATAATCAACGTCTCCTGATCCTCCAACAACTCCCAGGAGGTGATCCCAATCCCAGGCCTGGTTCAGATAAAAGTGGAGGGGGCCAGTGGAGTGGAGCTGGACACATACCAGTGGACACCTGGGTGGAACATGACCCTTAACCCTTGGCCTCTGTCCTGTGTAAGCTGATAACAGGGGTATCTATCTGCTGTGGTGCTCTTTGTTTGAGGAGTGGAGAAGGTCTGGAGGAGGTCTCTCACCTCGGCCAAGACCCCAGCTGAACACACAGTGCCCAGTCTGGGTATAATTAAGGAGGTATACCCCCTGACAGAATTATTCTCAGAAACCAGACATGAGGCTTTCTCCTTTCTCTCCCCCTCATCCCTCACTCCTCCGCCAACCTTCCCCCTCGTACCTCCCTGCCATCCGTCTGAGGTCTGGCAGCACCCTGTTGAGGTGGTGAAGACATGTTTCACCCCCTCCCCCTCCCCTGCCACCCTCTTGTAAACCCTTGTCCTCATCAGGCTGCCAAGTGTATATTTTGAGCCTTCGATTATTCATGAAGCACTGAAGCAGCCAATAACTATCATAGTCCCATTTCACTGGCTGCTCTCCAGTGGGTCAATGTCTTTGGCTTTCTTGGACAGAGTTGAAGCTGACTCTAGTAACAGAAAGACACTAAACTCCATTAAACACCCATCAAAGAGCTGCCTAAAGTGATGAAATGGTAGATATTTTCACATGGCAATCCCTATATAAAGCTCTGACTGGCTGCCCACCTTTTTGGTCTCCTGGACATTAATATGTATGGTGTAGACCCCATTCTTGTAGAAACCAGCTTGGTACAGATCGGCACAGTCCCGAAACTTCTTCTCTTCGTCCACCCGCTTCGTGCTGTTTGGGACTACTGAGGAAACATGGGATACATATTTGGTATCACAACTTCAGGCTGTGGAAATTCAGGCTGATACTAGAAAGACTTAGTACTTCTAAGCTAAAAAAACAGTCGCTCAGATGTAGTCGCTCAGATGTAGTGTTTCAATGTTAAACTGTCAAAGTTAAATTACTTTCAAAGACTGTCAAACAATCTGTCAACAAGCAACTTCCATATGTCATTATTTTCAAATGTCATATTTGACTGACAGGTGTCAATTAGGTCTTTAAAAGCCCTGTGCTCAGCACTTGGACGCTGTTTTCTATCCATTACCAAAATACACTGAGTATACCAAAAATTAGGAACACCTTGCCCTCAGAACAGTCTCAATTCGTCGGGGCATGGACTCTACAAGGTGTCGAAAGCGTTCCACAGGGATGCTGGCCCATTCTGACTCCAATGCTTCCCATAGTTGTGTCAAGTTGGCAGCATGTCCTTTGGGTGGTGGATCAGTCTTGATACAAACGGGAAACTGTTGAGCATGAAAGACCCAGCAACGTTGCAGTTCTTGAACCGGTACCCCTGGCACCTACTACCACACCCCGTTCAACGGCACTTAAATATTTTGTCTTGCCCATTCACCCTCTGAATGGCATACATACAACATCCATGTCTCAATTGTCTCAAGGCTTAAAAATCTATACCCGGTGACTGACCCAAGGGAGGTTTTTCTATTAGCTTAATATACTGAACAAAAATATACATTGAATAAAAATATAAACGCAACATGTAAAGTGTTGGTCCCATGTTCCATGAGCAACAAATAAAAATCCCTGACATTTTTCATATGGACAAAAAGCTTATTTCTCTCAAATGTTGTGCACAAATTTGTTTACATCCCTGTTAGTGACCATTTCTCCTTTACCAAGATAATCCATCCACCTTACAGGTGTAGCATATCAAGAAGCTGATTAAACAGCATGATCGTTATACAGGTGCACCTTGTGCTGGGGACAATAAAAGGCCACTCTAAAATGTACAGTTTTGTCACACAACACAATACCATAGATGTCTCAAGTTTTGAGGGAGCGTGCAATTGGCATGCTGACTGCAGGAATGTCCACCAGAGCTGTTGCCAGAGAATTGAATGTTCATTTCTCTACCATAAGCTGCCTCCAACGTAGTTTTAGAGAATTTGGCAGTACGTCCAACCGGCCTCACAACCGCAGACCACGTGTAACCACGTGCTGAGGAGGATTTCTGTCTGTAATAAAGCCCTTTTGTGGGGGAAAACTCATTCTGATTGGCTGGATTGGCTGGACTTGGCTGTGTCAGGGCCTAATGAATTCTTTCAATTGACTGATTTCCTTATATGAACTGTAACTCAGTAAAATCTTTGAAATGTTTGTATGTTAAGTTTATATTTTTGTCCAGTATAAACGCAACATGCAACAATTTCAACGATTTTGCTTAATTACAGTTAATATAAGGACATCTAGGCGCTAATCTATGGATTTCACATAACTTGGAAGTGGCACAGCCATGGGTGGGCATAGGCCCACCCACTGGGGAGCCAGGCCAACCCAATCAGAATGAGTTTTACCCCACAAAAGGGCTTTATTACAGACAGGAATACTCCTCAGTATCCCCCCTCCCCTCCCTCAAAACTTGAGACATCTGTATCATTGTGTTGTGTGACAAAACTGCACATTTTACAGTGGCCTTTTATTGTCCCCAGCACAAGGTGCACCTGTGTAATGATCATGCTGTTTAATCAGCTTATTGATATGCCATACCTGTCAGGTGGATGGATTATCTTGAAAAATGATAAAATGCTCACTAACAGGGATGTAAACAAATTTGTGCACAACATTTGAGAGAAATAAGCTTTTTGTGCTTATGGAACATTTCTGTGATCTTTTATTTCAGCTCATGAAACATGGGACCAGTACTTTACATATTGCGTTTATATTTTTGTTCAGTGCATAGACCAGTATGTCATTTTTGATCACAGTATTTAAATAAATAATGAACTACCTTTAGTTTCATGTCACATATGAGCCATCAAGCAGTGGGGTTTTTGTAATATCAAAACCGACCTTGTCCATTTATCATGATTACCATCTTTACATTCCAGAAAATGAACATGTAAGAAAAGTGACACAGAAGCGAACTACAAGGTCTCCGTGTGGATATCCATATAGCTCATGATAAAATCAGAGGGTGACTGGCTGGCTTATTAGCAAGAGAAAAGCAGTTTGTCAAGTGGATGATCTCTCGCCCAGGGAGAGAGTGCGTCTAACTTTGACAGGCCTGTTCAAAGAGGCAGCTGTGTCTATTTCCATCTGTAGATAATTATGGCGGCAATATTTTGAAACCAAGCAAGGGGCTGAGGACAAAATACTACAAGCTATACATTTCAAGTTCCTGTTATAACAAGTGGTTTATATTTACCCTCCAAGCCCTTGTTATATCGATGGAAATTCCAATTCCAAAATGAGGGGGCGCATCTCAGTTTTCACACCATTGTTTTTCCTATTGGGATTGTTTACGCAAAGGGGATGTCACTGGAAAGCGAAATGTGTCAGTGATCCTTCGACTCCCCTTTGATCCCCCTTCCTCAGCTGAACAGTCAGTGGAGACACAGGCTGCAGGTTAGGCGTATTATTTTGGCCATTTTTATGAAGTATTGAGTGGCAGCGACAAGAATATCCCGCCGTGACAGGTTGACAGAGTGGGACCTTGCACTGTGGAGTCTAACACAACTAAAGGCCGGCCCTGTCGTGCCGCAATTTACCTCATGCTGGGAGATGGCAGGACGCATTAGAGAGGCGGGAGAGATCGGTGTCAAAGGGGAACTTTCTGACTCACAGTCTGTCACAGTAAGGACACATTTCACAATCAATGGCGCAGTCTAAGTCTACCAGAGACTGGGGACTCCCTGCTATAGGAGTGGCACCCTTGAAGAGCTTGCAGCATGGCTCTGAAAATATTATTTATTTCCCAATATTTATTTACAGACAAATACTTTGTGGTTCAGTGGGGACTTGTATTCAGTAGGGGGTTCATGTGAAAAGGACAGCAGGGCTGGGGTGTTTGCATAAATCAGTACCCTTGCCAAATGAGCCCAAATGGACCCAGAGAGGACGTGACGCAGAGCTAAAAGGACTCTCATGAACCTACATGGACCCAAGCAGACCCGGGAGGCCCCTCAAAGACCCTTGGGGATTAAAAAGGTCCCTTATACATCCCACTGTGGACCCAGAAGACACCTCATGGAGTCAAATGGACACACGTGGACACAAAGGAACCAAAATGGACTGTGACAGATCTAGCAGACTCAATTAAATTTGAAAGGATGTTAAAAACCAAATAAAATTGACTCAAACCCACAAACAAAGATCTGAGGGAAAGACAAGCAAACCCAAATAGGGTCAATAGAAGTCTGGAATAAGTCCATGATAGATGGTGCCATTACACACCTCATGGATATTCTCTCTACTTGCTCCAGAATATCTTTGCAGTGTCAGGTGTCACTTCAAGACAAATGAGTATGCTTAAACATGAGCATAGTTAAATCATAAAAAGCCTTAATAGAAGCCATCTGATGATTTACTGTACACTATGTACCATTTTGCATAGAACTCTGAGCTAAATGCGGCTAATTAAAATAAGATCATATTCCCTCCAGACATGGCTATCCCGGCTGTAAAAATGATTGATGGCTTTCATTAGGTGGGATGATAGAATACTGTGAAAGAAAATCACATTTAGTGGCCAGAGATTTTGAAGAGCGTTCCAACACTGAGGTCAATTACCACTACTAACGGTATTTGGCTCTTTGAGCTTTCAAAAGATTGAGGTAATAATGATGACCCAAATGTGAGCTCAGTGGCATCTGGCTGTATGAGATGGTTGGATTAGAGTTCAGAATGCCGTACAACAGTGGAAAAGGCATTGAAAATGTACACTGAACAAAAATATAAATGCAACATTTAAAGTGTTGGTCCCATGTTTCATGAGCTGAAATAAAAAATCCCAGAAATGTTCCATACGCACAAAAAGTTTATTTCTCTAAAATTTTGTGCACAAATTAGTTTTCATCCCTATTAATTAGCATTTCTCCTTTGCCAATATAATCCAAACACCTGACTGCTGTGGCATATCAAGAAGCTGATTAAACAGCATGATAATTATACAACAGCATGATCATTACCTTCTGCTGGGGACAATAAAAGGCCACTTTAAAATCTGCAGTTTGTCACACAACACAATACCACAAATGTCTCAAGTTTTGAGGGAGCGTGCACTTGGCATGCTGATTGCTGGGATTGTCCACACGAGCTGTTGCCAGAGAATTTGTTAATTTCTCTACCATAAGCTGCCTCCAACGTCGTCCAACTGGCCTCACAACTGCAGACCACGTGTAACCACGCCAGCCCAGGACCTCCACATCCGGCTTCTTCACCTGCGGGATCGCCATGGCTGCACCCCTGCCCAGTCATGTGAAATCCATAGATTAGGCCTTAATGAATTTATTTCAATTGACTGAACTGTAACTTAGTAAAATCTTTGAAATTGTTGCATGTTACTTTTATATTTTTGTTCAGTATAAATAAGCATAAATACAGTGCCTTGCAAAAGTATTCATCCCCCTTGGCGTTTTTCCTATTTTGTTGCATTACAACCTGTAATTTAAATTGATTTTTATGTAATGGACATACACAAAATAGCCAAAATTGGTGAAGTGAAATTTAAAAAAGAACTAAAAAATAAATAACGTAAAAGTGGTGCGTGCATATGTATTCACCCCCTTTGCTATGAAGCCCCTAAATAAGATCTGGTGCAACCAATTACCTTCAGAAGTCACATAATTAGTTAAATAAAGTCCACCTGTGTGCCATCTAAGTGTCACATGATCTCAGTATATATACACCTGTTCTGAAAGGCCCCAGAGTCTGCAACATCACTAAGCAAGGGGCACCACCAAGCAAGCGGCACCATGAAGACCAAGGAGCTCTCCAAACAGGTCAGGGACAAAGTTGTGGAGAAGTACAGATCAGGGTTGGGTTATAAAAAAATATCAGAAACTTTTAACATCCCACGGAGCACCATTAAATTGATTATTAAAAAATTGAAAGAATATGGCACCACAACAAACATGCCAAGAGAGGTCCGCCCACCAATACTTACGGACCAGGCAAGGAGGGCATTAATCAGAGAGGCAACAAAGAGACCAAAGATAACCCTGAAGGAGCTGCAAAGCTCCACAGCAGAGATTGGAGTATCTGTCCATAGGACCACTTTAAGCCGTACACTCCACAGAGCTGGGCTTTATGGAAGAGTGGCCAGAAAAAAAGCCATTGCTTAAAGAAAAAAATAAGCAAACACGTTTGGTGTTCGCCAAAAGGCATGTGGGAGACTCCCCAAACTTTGGTGTTCGCCAAAAGGCATGTGGGAGACTCCCCAAACATATGGAAGAAGGTACTGTCGCGATGTCTGGCGCAAACCCAACACCTCTCATCACCCCGAAAACACCATCCCAAAGTGAAGCATGGTGGTGGCAGCATCATGCTGTGGGGATGTTTTTCATCGGCAGGGACTGGGAAACTGGTCAGAATTGAAGGAATGATGGATGGCGCTAAATACAGGGAAATTCTTGAGGGAAACCTGTTTCAGTCTTCCAGAGATTTGAGACTGGGACGGAGGTTCACTTTCCAGCAGGACAATGACCCTAAGCATACTGCTAAAGCAACACTTGAGTGGTTTGGTTATGCATGCTCAAGGTTTCTGTTTTTTTGTCTTATTTCTTGTTTGTTTCACAATAAAAAATATTTTGCATTTTCAAAGTGGTAGGCATGTTGTGTAAATCAAATGATACAAACCCTCAAAAAATCTATTTTAATTCCAGGTTGTAAGGCAACAAAATAGGAAAAATGCCAAGGGGGGTGAATACTTTCGCAAGCCACTGTAAATGAGAAGTATGTTTCTAGACAAACTTCAGTGACATTTTAGAATCTAATCTCCCTTTTTAAACTTTTCCCCATAGTAACTGTCAGTGATGATTTGAATCCGAGCATTAAAGGAAATGCTAGGGGTCAGTTTTCAAAACAGAGCCTAACTCGATTAGACGCCATCCAATGGCACGAAAAGCTAACCGTCCCCGAATGAAAACACAAATCTGATTGGTAAACAAACAAATCCTCCCCTGAAAATCCTCCCCTGTAACGGAGCATCATCACATCTAGATTTAGACACCGTGGGGAACGGAAGTGTTGCGACCTCCCCTAGGAGCCATTATAGGTTGAATTATTTGGCAGGGGTGAAGAGGGTGACCCCAGCGCCCGGTTGGCCCTCATTGCCACCGTGGAGGAGGACGGGACCAACCCCGGAGCCAGGACGTTCATGTTTAATTTCACTCTCCTCTCGTTAAAGCAGCCACCAATCAAGGCGGGAGGCTGGATGCCCCAGTGACCCCAGAAACACCCAGAGCTGACAGAGAGATAACATGGCTGACTAGGTGACAAAGTTGCAGAGGTGTTCACTAAATGGATTCCTGGCAACTAATGGAACATGGTAGGCTACTTGCCAGGTCAGTTAATGACTTGTTTTTCATTTGGTGACTTGGTTTAGCGACTTAATAAACCCTAATAACATATGTGGGTCACAATATGGCACGGCACAGGGATTAGTTAATATGAGCCAATGAGTCGAGAGCTTTAACGACACTCAAAGGATCTCCTGCCATAAAGTGTTCCTACTGTCAGAGCTATGAAAAGAGGCCGCTGGGGACTCTTTTTGCATAGAACATTAAAGCTATGGAGTAGCACGTGTTAATCATGTCATGCACATATCCACTCTCCATGTCTCAGATATCCATTCATGCCTGCTCATTTCCTGTTAGACGGGTGAACAGCCACAGGAAGAAGTGTGGGGTCTTGGGCCGGAAGCAGGAAGTAGGGAACATGAACAGGCTGCAAGGTTTCTCGCTAGACCACTCCACTAATCCCAGCACACACATTTACTTGAAATCTCCTATGACTGAATGTGATCGAGGGAAGACTTGGGATCAAGTGGGTTTGGGATTGTGCTGTTGTGTTGAGATGGAGGGGGTGTAATGAGTTCACTGCATTGACTAAAAGTGAGGGTCATGTTGCTGTCGGGGTCAAGATATGGACCAAAGGGAAATCCCAGGTCCCTAATTATCACCACGGGGAGACACGAAGGAAGAAAAATAGTTGATTACTCAAAATGGTGGCTGACATTTCACTCAAGCAGTAACCACAGCCTAGGCTGTCACAGTAAAGCGTGATAAGCCATTACCGTAAAGAGAGCACCACACTGAGCAGCTAGAGTCACGAGTGCTTCCCGGAAAAGAACGACCACTTTGGTTTCTCCCTCAAGCAGAGTTCAAGGGACAGGGCTTCACTATGCCTCCCTGTATGGAACCATGTTTATGGTATTGGCATCATGACAGCTCTTGCTCTCTCTCAGAGGAAGCCAGAGTATATGATATGACTGCACAGTCTGGACAAAACATGTTTTTTTCTATCGCAATCAAATGTCATATTTGGTAGCCCAGTTTCCAAGCACCTTTTTTCTTCTTGCACCTGTAATAACACACATGCATGTGTTTTTACTTTTCTCTTCAGGGTGTAGCTCCCAACTAGGCATCTTCTTGAAAGAGAATACAGTGTTATGTCTGTCAACACGAGACCCTTAGCTACTATACCTCCGTCCTTGTTGCAGAGGCTGATGAGGTTGTGCACTGTGTCCATCATTTCCTGCTGCTGCCTCTGCATGGCGGTGCTGTTGCCCGTGGCCCTGGTCAGCTGGGTCTCCAGCTCACGGATCACCCCACTCTGTTTCCCCACCAGAACCTGCAGGCTGCCCTTCTCCTCCCGCAGCGTCCCCAGCTCCTCCCGATGACGAGACTCCATCTCCTGCATCTTCTGCTCCAGGAACCTTGGGAGTCGGAAGACCCGACATAGGAAGGTTTGTTAGGCCTATGGCTTTAGTTTATAGATGACTGTAAACTAAAGCTATAACCAACTTTTCTCTATCAGATTAGTCCTCTATTCGTGATTTGGTGCTTACGTAGTTGTATGGTAGTTACATAATTGTCAAAAACAGTCGAATTCCATCACTTTCTAAATTATTTTCTACATGCATCCTTTTGATAGATCAAGCAAGTGAATTATCATACCAAATCCGCTCCGGCATATCCCCTTCTCCCGACCCCAAAACATGTTCTGAACTGTATCCATGGCAACATGTGATATGGAAACCCAACTATATACATTACGCCCAGACTTAGTAGAAATACAAATGTTTATGTCAGTGGATTCAGTCACCATGAGTTGCACACAGACAATAAACATATATAAATACATTTCATCATTCACTTTGCAGATTAACGTAAGCCCTAACTGTATCCTATGGTCTTCCATTTTATAAATAATGTCTGAAAGATGATATAGTCTGACGTCATATTGATTATCAAATTCAGAACTACTCCGCTTGCATTAAATTGATAAATAAAATAAAACGTTTAAATAGGAGGGGATTTCATAATTGCACAATCTTTGAAAATTGCTCTCAGTAAAGGAATCCTCTGTGGAGGCTGCTGAGGGGAGGACGGCTCATAATAATGGCTGGAACAGCGCAAATGGAATGGCATCAAACACATGGAAACCATGTGTTTGATGTATTTGATACCATTTCACTCATTCCGCTCCAGCCATTACCACGAGCCCATCCTCCCCAATTAAGGTGCCACCAACCTCCTGTTGAACCCATGTCTATAAACCTTGAGTGCAGGTCTCAAATATAGGAATCAGTATATATATATATATTTTTTGTTCAGAAGACATATGAATGGAAGAATTCAGTACAGTTGTGTTCCTGTATTTACAGTGAGCACTAGGGATGGGAGGGAGCTTTTAAGTGGACGATGAGAGACAGTCCCACTGGACCAATCAACAAACTGGACTCTGAAAAGCCATCCAAAAGCCACAATCGATTGCTCCCATTGCAACATCATTAAAGTGCAGCTTTCAAAGACGAGCTCATCTTGGAAAATATGGCCTCATGCACTTCATACTGTTATACATCAGGGGATTGGGTGTCTTATTGCACATTGAGTTGATCTGTCTATGACGGAGTTTGTGTCTGGAGTCTCTGGACAAAAGGCCTGATGTCTTTAAATGAAGTTTCACATTGTGTTAGCGGCCTGTGAGTTTTACCCGTTCTTGTCGTGGAGCTTTCTGATCTCGTTGGTCTGCACCATGAGCTGCTTCTCCAGCTTGTTGGTGGACAGGGAGTTCTCAAGCAGCTGAATCTCTAGTCTGGAGGTTTGATTCAGAACCTGTCCCAAGACAGAAATAGGTTAGTGGTATCCTGCCTTGTAGAGGTGTTCCAGCAAAACAAAATGTAGGTAAGATGTAAATGATCAGCTCCTCTTTAGGAAGAGGTAATAAAGTATAGGTTTTGCATAAAGAGAGGTTGTTCTTCTGACACATGGTAGTACTCACATGGCAATACTCAGTGATTTTGCTTAGCAACCTTTTTTTGGGGCACATCAGCAAAAATCTACCCCCACAAGTACTACTTTTGTCCCATTCCTTCTAAAGCTCCCCAAGTATCAAGCGAAGTTGAAACCTAAACATACATATGCACAAGTGGCGGTCAGTGCTGTTAAATTTTTTCATGAGCATGGCCTTATTTCTATTACAGCATATTGGATGACTGTGATTCATATTCCATTCACCCAGTTCAATGTAACAGCGACAGGTTTAGGCTACTACTACATGATACTCTAATTTTCCCTATACCCATCATGAGGTTGCTACAACCTAGCCTATGAATACAAGTTTACAAGGTAGGTGCACACAGGTCGACATTCAATACTGCCTTGCACACTATTGCCTGCATCTAGCTGATAAAGCATGTTATCATTAGTCTAACTGTTGCAAACGAGAGTTTCCATTGGACAAATTCAAGTATGTTTATCCCTGTTTTGTTCTGTTTGCTTCCGTTTAACAAACGTTTTTGCATTGCAGTGCTAGCTAGCTGTAGTTTATGCTTTCAGTACTAGATTAATTCTCTGATCCTTTGAGTGGTTGGACAACATGTCAGTTCATGCTGCAAGAGCTCTGATAGGTTGGAGGACATCCTCCGGAAGTTGTCATAATTACTGTGTGTCTATGGAAGGGGGTGAGAACCATGAGCCTCCTAAGTTTTGTATTGAAGTCAATGTGCCCAGAGGAGAACTGAAGCTAGCTGTCCTCCGGCTACACCATGGTGCTACCCTACATAGTGCTGTTGAGGCTACTGTAGACCTTCTTTGCAAAATAGGGCGTTTTAATCAATTATTTGGTGACATGATTGTATTTAGTATAGTTTTATCTAAAAAGGATAACTTTTTTAATGTTTTAAATGTTTTATTTTATGAAATTCACTGAGGAGGATGGTCCTCGCCTTCCTCCTCTGAGGAGCCTCCACTGATATGCACATCACATAAAGAGAGCGTAGGTATTTATATGGCATCCATATTTTCTTTGGCCAGTTCCCCCTTTGCTTTTTTGGGGTGGTTTAATGTGGAATAGCTGAGTCAATGGTGCGTGAGATGGATCCCGGTGGGAGTGCGAGGAGTTTGGGGGGATATAGTACCTGCGTCTCCACATCCGTTAGCTTGCGCGTCTGCTCGGCCGTCTGGGACAGGAGGTTGGTGCCCATCTCCAACATGGCGGCCGTGTGTTTGTGAACGGCACTCTGCTGCAGCTGGGCCATCTCTGTCTTCATGCTCTCCTTTATGTCGTTTTCAATCTGAAGAAAGATTATGAGAGGATGGATGAGACACAGAGCATGAAACAGACTAAAACAGATGGCCCATAATGCAGAAGCAGCAAAACTGGGGTATGTTGAAAAACAAAGGTAGCAGAGGATAAACAGACGCTATAAATCACACAGACACAACAAAATAGAGATACGTTTGAAAACAGTGACAGTTGAGAGAAAGCATTCAATCACTTTAGTTGAAAGAAAGAACATGCCTGACAAATGGATACCATCCACATTGATCAAGATTAAAATCTCATACATTCTGTAATCATTGTAATATTCCCTTAAGTGGACATTTCAAAGGCCTTCTTATCAGTATCTCCATGTCATAGATCAACAGAGTTGATTCTGTCTTTCCACCACATTATTCTAACACAAAACCTCTTCATTGGGGAACCACCAAGTGAAGAATGAGCTTCAGAATATAGGTGGATCCAGATGTAGGTAATTAGCTAAGGAAGGAAGAGACAGAGATGGCCAGATACTCACTGGTGCTTATCTTGAAAGCACTCTTTCATTCCCCAAAAGTGAACGGATACAAGGCCGAGACAGGGTTTGAATCAGCATCAGTTCATGCACGTGCGGTGATGTTCGGCCTGTTACATGTTTCACCATCTGCACTGACACTTTTCAAAACATTCATGAATAATCTGGATGGCCTGTTTGATTTGGTCAATCTGACAGTGGCCCTTCTGAGCTCACTCTCTAATAGGGTATTTTCAGAAATGCACCAGCCAGTTACAAACATTATAGTGTCGCATGCGCTGATGCCCTTACTCAGCAACTGTTCCTGGCACATATAAACTTTGTTGAACGAAGAGTACAGCACACATGGAGACGTCACCAGCCCAAATCCACTACTCACTCGATGGTGAATGATTTTTTTTCTGTGAGACTCTTAAAGAAAGCATTTGTGACATCAAAGTCTCTCACTTTATTTTTCCATCCCTCTGAAAATACAGATTGTTCCTATTGTCACATTAGCCATGATGTCCGGTGATACCCTATGCCAACATGGTTAAAGGAACCTTACATGTGTGGCCTCCAGGGACCTGACTTGCACTATGACTGAGTGACTCACGTTAAAAGGTCCTTAGTCCTATTCTAGATAACACAGGCACTGGGATAGTCTAGACTTTCATGCTCAGACTTTATGTTAGATTTCAGTGGAAGAATGATGCAGTTGTTGTTTATCATGCCCATTATAGCTTGTGTATGAGTGGTAGTTGAAACTTTAAAGACCGTTGAAGTTTAATCTTTAACCCTTTACACTTGTGGGAATTGGCCTTTATGGATAGGGTTAAATTGAAATGTTTCATGAAGAAGCAATATGAAATGCATATGCATATGCATGGTAGCAATTGAAAGGGAGCAATTTGGAGATTGTGGGAAAATTATTAGACCAAAGTTGAGGACACAACAGTTCACCTGGTACAAGACTGAATCCAAACATTACACTGTTGATTTTATGTGCATTTTACATTTACTGTAGTTTGTGCCGCATTTGTTGATAACGAAAAATCTGAAAATACTCTCGATACAGTCAGTAACATGATAAGAATATTCCTGGAAAATTTGAGGTAGGTGCAACATAAGACAAAAACATTACACAGGTTTGAGTGAGAGGACTAACTGGTGTCTCAAAGTGGCCACACACCTCTCCAAAGTGTGCACAGTTCCTAAGTATTTTCAATGCACCTTTATGACTCAAAGAAGAGTCTTCAACTATAAGCTGCTTTTTTTTTTTTTTAGCTCTCCTAGCTGTGTCAATGAGGAACTAGTGCAAGCACACTTGTAGTTGTTTTTTTTGGAACACAACCCTGTATCCCTGCCATTACACAATTACTGTTGTTTTCACGCAATCTAAACATGGCCCATTATAAATCGCAATCTGGGTCAAGTGGGCATCATCTGAGTGATTGTTCTATTGCCAAAATGACTAGCTAAGTTATAAAATACAATCTTACAGTGTTAGGCATTCACAGGGCAATTCAGAGAAAGAGATCGTAATTTTGGTACGCATAGAAAGGAGTCATGCGTGCATTCAGGTGAGTGTTCTGCGGCAAATCTTGACAACAGACAAACATAGGCTCATTCTGTTCAGAACAACCCATGTCATCTTGTAACTGTACATCAAACATAGTGATCATAAATCTTGACACTGTATATGACGTGAGTTTTATGATATGGAAATGTGAAGTGCACATTTAGACTGGCTTGCTTTTATGACATCAAAGCGGTATTTATTATAATCCTCAACATCTCATCTTTCAAAATACATTGAGTCCTCTTAATTGACAGCATTTCCCTCGCTCAGACAACATAAAATGTGCCAAGATCGCCCAATTAGCGGGAGGGATGGGGACAAATTCTTGTCTCATGCGGTGCTCAAGTTCAGAATGGCTGTCAGTCAAAGACCATAACGCACTTTAAAGCTCAGAGCCTGAGTGCTGACGTCATTTATAGCGTATTACTGTACAGGCTCTTATCAGTGACCAAATCTGCCATTTTCAACCCGTATACAGGTACGATTGTAACGGGCTATAGACTGTAGAAGTTTAAACTTTAAAGACTGTAAGGTATTAAAAGTTTATTACGTGTGTCTTCAATTACAGTTTTTAAGGTAATGTGCACAAAACTGACACATTTGTATTCCCACAGTAGTAATGATGTTTCCAACTAAATTATCATGGAAAAAACATGTAAATCTGTACAATGTATCACAATAAATTAAACAATTATATCATTGTATGATATTACTTCATATTTTTTGTATTTCATTTATCATGTTTATTACAAAATAGACAAAATGGAAAATATGTATTTAGCTAAAGAACATAAGTACAGTGGGGGAAAAAAGTATTTAGTCAGCCACCAATTGTGCAAGTTCTCCCACTTAAAAAGATGAGAGAGGCCTGTAATTTTCATCATAGGTACACGTCAACTATGACAGACAAAATTATTTTTTATGAATTTATTTGCAAATTATGGTGGAAAATAAGTATTTGGTCAATAACAAAAGTTTCTCAATACTTTGTTATATACCCTTTGTTGGCAATGACACAGGTCAAACGTTTTCTGTAAGTCTTCACAAGGTTTTCACACACTGTTGCTGGTATTTTGGCCCATTCTTCGATGCAGATCTCCTCTAGAGCAGTGATGTTTTGGGGCTGTCGCTGGGCAACACGGACTTTCAACTCCCTCCAAAGATTTTCTATGGGGTTGAGATCTGGAGACTGGCTAGGCCACTCCAGGACCTTGAAATGCTTCTTACGAAGCCACTCCTTCGTTGCCCGGGCGGTGTGTTTGGGATCATTGTCATGCTGAAAGACCCAGCCACGTTTCATCTTCAATGCCCTTGCTGATGGAAGGAGGTTTTCACTCCAAATCTCACGATACATGGCCCCATTCATTCTTTCCTTTACACGGATCAGTCATCCTGGTCCCTTTGCAGAAAAACAGCCCCAAAGCATGATGTTTCCACCCCCATGCTTCACAGTAGGTATGGTGTTCTTTGGATGCAACTCAGCATTCTTTATCCTCCAAACACGACGAGTTTAGTTTTTACCAAAAGGTTATATTTTGGTTTCATCTGACCATATGACATTCTCCCAATCCTCTTCTGGATCATCCAAATGCACTCTAGCAAACTTCAGACGGGCCTGGACATGTACTGGCTTAAGCAGGGGGACACGTCTGGCACTGCAGGATTTGAGTCCCTGGCGGCGTAGTGTGTTACTGATGGTAGGCTTTGTTACTTTGGTCCCAGCTCTCTGCAGGTCATTCACTAGGTCCCCCCGTGTGGTTCTAGGATTTTTGCTCATCGTTCTTGTGATCATTTTGACCCCACGGGGTGAGATCTTGCGTGGAGCCCCAGATCGAGGGAGATTATCAGTGGTCTTGTATGTCTTCCATTTCCTAATAATTGCTCCCACAGTTGATTTCTTCAAACCAAGCTGCTTACCTATTGCAGATTCAGTCTTCCCAGCCTGGTGCAGGTCTACAATTTTGTTTCTGGTGTCCTTTGACAGCTCTTTGGTCTTGGCCATAGTGGAGTTTGGAGTGTGACTGTTTGAGGTTGTAGTCAGGTGTCTTTTATACTGATAACAAGTTCAAACAGGTGCCATTAATACAGGTAACGAGTGGAGGACAGAGGAGCCTCTTAAAGAAGAAGTTACAGGTCTGTGAGAGCCAGAAATCTTACTTGTTTGTAGGTGACCAAATACTTATTTTCCACCATAATTTGCAAATAAATTCATAAAAAATCCTACAATGTGATTTTCTGGAAAAAGAATTCTCAATTTGTCTGTCATAGTTGACGTGTACCTATGATGAAAACTACAGGCCTCTCTCATCTTTTTAAGTGGGAGAACTTGCACAATTGGTGGCTGACTAAATACTTTTTTTCCCCACTGTATATTTGGCTGAATCTGCATCAGTAGAGTGAGAAAACCAAGGTCATTAATTTAGAACCCACAGCGGCTGTCGACTGCCTTTTAAAGAATTACTATAGCGGCCACGAATGGCCTTGTTTTTCTAACAATAATATCTGTGTCAACATCGCAAAATGTACTTGCTAACAACCCGTTGTCGTATTTTCGTGTGGCTGTTGTCATCAACCAGAAACCGGAAACAGGGTATGCTCTCATCTGACTTTTCAACGTTTTTTTAACTTTATTACTCAAAATGACAGCGCCGAAGCAGACATGACTTTTGAGAATGTTGAGTGCTACATCCCAACGGCCAGTTAAATGGCGTCCCTTGACAAGACAAGAACAAGATGTATGTCAGGAGAAGCGCAGGTTTATCGTAAGGAGACTATACTTGGAATACTGAGGAGGAATGGAGGGGAAAAGAGAGGCAGAGGAGGTCGAAGAGAGATTGGGAGGAAGATGGTGAGCTTGAGTTGGTTAAAAATGGTGGAAAAAAGGGAGATGATTTGTTAAAGAAGAATGGTAGAAAGTGTAAGCAGAATGAGCTGTACG